TTATACGACTTGGTATGTGTGTGTGTTTGCTGTAATTGGTGTGTTGTGTGTGTCTCGTCTGTCTTTTAAATGTGTTTTATATTTACTTTTTATATAGTAATTGACGTTTTATCACAAACTGTATTTATCAACTGTCTGTACTTGCATGACTTTTATACTGATTCGTTGTAACATTTTATTTGTATATTTTCGTGGCGACCGATGAGTTGGTTCCTTTGCCTTTGCCACCTATGTGTCTTGTTTAAGGGATTTTATACTTTTAGATTTTTAAACAAATTTTTAAAACTGTAATCTATGCCAACTTGACTTCATCGGAGCACAGGATCTTATGGACTTAGAGGACAGTTCCGACTTTGAAGATTTTTGCCTGCTATTTTTCAGAACACAGGACTGAGAAAAATTTTTAAAAAAATACTTCCTGGAGGGCCCTTCCGGCCCTCTCAGGGGGTTGTGTTAGTTGAGGCAAAGATTGGAAAAATAGAAAAATAATTAAAATTCGGTAACCCACACCTGATTCCGACTTGGACCTATTTCGGGGCCCCCGACCTCCCACCTGACGGCACCTGAAACAAACAAATATTGGTAAATGATAATTTAGCGGTTAAATTGAAATTATACATAAGTTAAACATATCACTACTGGTGCTCCACTTGGGTCTTCCTCTTGAAGTTTCTCTGCTGAGGAGCCTGTAACAAATAATAAAATTAAATCTGCTCATCTAGTAATTTAATGAAACAAAGTACCTGCTGGCTCCCTCTTGGTCTTCAATCCATCCTCTGCTGACCTCCTCTTCTTCCTGAGTTCCAGTCGACTGTTCTTGCTCCAGTCCTGATCCGGCTTTCCAGGCTTCAATCTTCTGGGTTCCTGTTACTGCTCTGGCCTCTCCTGACCTTGGATCAACTTCCTGTGGACGAGACTACATCCATGTATTAAAACACTTGGGGCGCCCACTGACTAATTACTATAACTACTTAACTCGAACTTAACTAAGTTAATACGGCGCGGCGGGTACCAGTGATCCCTCAAGCCACCCACTCGCCGTTTCGTTGTTGTAGCGTCGCAGTGCGAGCATCCCCGCCCCGCCCACCTGCTCGCCGGCGCGTTTGGAGCTCAGCCCCAACACCTCCGGCTCCACCGGTTGCGGCGCGATAGGGCACCTCATCCACTAGGCCCAGGTCATCCGGATCGCCACGATATTTACTTTGTATTCACGATGTAAATTACTTGTTTTTTTTTTACTATGTTACGACTTATGTTACGACTTGTGCTTGTTACGACTTTGTATGGAGATCTTATCATTTGTATGTTTTATCATTTTTGTTATGACTTATGTGTTGTGTCCGGCACCTTTGTATTCAATTTCTGCTCTTGTTTGAGAATAGTATGTATTGGCGTTTTAACTTTTTAACTGCGTTTACTCAGTTTGTGTGTCCGGCACAATTTTTTATTCTTTATTTGTCCAGCACCCTTTGTATACTTTACTGCAAATATGGGCAATACCTGTAAGCTTTTCTCTTTCACTCAAAAAATGCTGGTCAGGGGGCTGGGGCCCGTTGTTCCCCAACGTGCGTTGGAGGTTTCTCTGCTTCCCCAGCGGCCTTTTTTACCTTACACCCTTTTTGGGTAGGTGGAGCCATCGCGGGTATTAAGCCCACGAAACCTCCGCGGCGCAATGGGCTAGCGCGTTCGGCAGTTAACCGAAAGGTTGGTGGTTCGATCCCAACCGGGGGCGGCATTCCATGTTCATTTTCCATATAAGTTAAATAGAATTTATTAAAAAGTGGATCTTTTCTATTATGATTAATTGTTAATCAGGACCACACGAAACCTCCCTGGCGCAATCGGTTATTAACCGAAAGGTTGGTGCTTCGAGCCCACCCGGGGGCGGCATTCTATATTTCTTTTTCAATAAAGTGAAATAGAATTTATTAAAAAGTGGAACTTTTCTGTTAAAATTAATTGTACATCCGCAACACACGCAAAATCTGTGGCGCAATCGGCTAGCACGTTCGGCTGTTAATCGAAAGGTTGGTGGTTCGAACCCACCGCGGGCGAAATTCTACATATTTTTCCCTTCAAGTGAAATAGAATTTATTAAATGTTTATCTTTTCTGTTCAGATTAAATGTTCTTCATAAACACACGAAGCCTCCGTGGCGCAATCGGCTAGCGCGTTCGGCTGTTAACCGAAAGGTTGGTGGTTCGAGCCCACCCGGGGGCGGCGTTCT